CGCTGCCCGGCCTCGCCCGGGCCGTGCCCGTGTGCCCCGGTGTGCCCCGGTGTGTCCCGGTGAGGCAGCCCGCGCCGAGGCGCCCGAGCCGGGCGGGAGGCGCTCCCGCCGGCGGTGCCCCTGCGCGGCTGCGTGCGGCGCCCGGAGCAGGTCTGCGSCACGCCACACGTGTGGCATGTCCAGCTTGGGCCGCCGCACACCCGAGCACCTGCACGGGGCCTGTGTCACAKCCAGCGCCCTGAGCCCCAGCCCCACAGAGCTTCCCAGCCCCCTTCCCTGCCCACACGCCCAAGGCACCGCGCAGGAGGGCACCCGGCACAGGCGGATGGCCCGGGGAGCAGGGCCCTGCGAGGGGACGCGGTCACCCGGCCCGGCGCAKCGCGGTGCTTGTGTGCTGCCGCGCAGCCCTGCACAGCGTACGTGCAACGTACGGACACGAAGCCTCAGCCAAGAGAGAGACAGAAGCAAAGATCTTGGAGGAAAGATGCTGAGTGCATGAGGCCTGGCACGCCCGGGCTCAGAGCCATGCTCTTGCTCCGCCGATACTCAGTTACACACRACATGACACTGCCATATCCCTCAGCCTGCAGGCACGTGTCCATGACATGTCTGGAGATGGGTGGTTTGAGGGATACCGAGGCAAATTCACCCATAAGAATTAATGTAAAAGAAGAGGAATATCATGCAGGTACTTACAGGGTGCATGTAGCTTAAATACACAGTGAGAAGATACCACTACATAACATCGCTGCCATTAACAAGTCCAGTCCAGTCTGCTCCCCAGAAAGTGAAATCCTTCATGGCACAAATGCAAGCAAAGGACAAGAGGGATGCATATCCACATTAGCTGCTGTATGCAATTATACAAATACCTGTGAAACATGCACTAGTATCTTCAGAAATACTTGAAATATTTTATTGTAGAAAATGACATCTTTATTCTCAGTKGTTGTTTATACATAAATGTCATTTTTGGGGGGAAAAAAAACACAAAAATCACCAAAATGTATGGATAACCACCCCCAATTATATGGCTATCCATATGTTCTCTGTGATTCAGATAGTTCCATGTTAGCTGTAGTTCATTGGGCACGTTTCAATAAGATTGGGCTGGTCAGGGGAGTTTGCAGTAGAAGATGGACAGTGGAAAGATGAAAAATGAAGAATAGGGTGGTGCAAACAGTCAGCAAGCAGGATATCAGCTTGATGGATGGACTCTGAAATGACAAACAGATGAGTGACGGGGATGGAGGGTGCTTTATGAGGAAGGAGGCAGTAGTTGCCGGTACCAGCAGAGTTTTAGGGAAGAATTTCAGAGTCCAAGAGAATTGCAATTGCAGGTTGGCTGTTACCAAGGAAACATTCACACATCCTCCACCCTGCCCTCAACACTACCTCCGTGTCCCCATCCTTAAGCTAGTCCCCGCCCTCATCTGACCCAGCAATGAACTGGTTCAGAGAACTAGCGCAGAGGAAGTTCCCAATGCTCCCAGTGGATGCAGGCAGTTTCAAGCAAACTGGTGAGGAGGCAGGTGTAGCATGAGGGTTGCTGAGCAATCCTCTCTATCATGGGATTGTGTGAGGAGATCAGCACGGACTGCTGAGGCCAGGTCATGTTTGCTATATCTGAATGGATGGGCCTTGAGAGCCCTTCTGAGCTACAGCTCAATCCATGTCACAGGACAGTGCAGCAAGAGACCAGTCCTCTTGGGGCAAACGTTGGTTTCCTCAAAAAGCCAATCACACTGGCCAATCAGCAGGAAACCAGTGCTTGTTCCAGTGGGACTGTTTGGGATTAGGACCTTGGCTTCACCACGTGGGCATCCCCTGCACCCTCTGGGGCCTAGCAGGATGTCTGCAGCTTGCTTGCAGCAGAGCAGGGGGACACCAAGGAGTCACAGCCTTAGATTTTGAATCGTYCCTAAACCTCCCTGTTCCCGAAGCTCCACAGAGTTTGTGGTGTCTGTCATGTGGTTCTCAGACACATAAACATCCGCTACCTTTATCAGGCTAGGAAGTACAGCCATTCAATTTAAGGTACTTCACTTCTCTCCTTTCTTCCCCCTCAGTATGACTGGAAAGCAATGAGCTTTATCACAGATACTGGCTTTAATATTTTATAGACGTAGCTCTCCAAATTGCATTTAGCTTTATTCTTATGCCACACAAAGTAGGACTGAGGGCCAAAAAGGTATGAGTCACGGCTTACCATAATAACTGCAAAGTACATTGTGCCTCAAAGATGAAGGAATTCTGCCCCAGCAACGCTTTGCAGCATTGATTTCTTTTTGTGAAGCAAAATGGTAGCCTGCATAAATGATATCCCTGGTGACTGCAGTGATCTTCAGTGTTTGCTGAGAGATCCAGGATGACTGGAAAGCCTTGTGGTCAACATGTGGAAGGCTGTGGGCTGGTCACTTCAGTTCTCTGTAGCTCTGTTTCTCCATTTATAAAGTGCAAATTACAATATTTCTATCCCTAAAGGGCTCTGAAAAGTACTGTGTGTGGGCAATACACGTGAAATCATTATGTTATATTAGGCAATACACATGGAATACAAATATTTCTAACTTAGTCATTGACTTTTTTTTGAATGGGAAGTGTCATGCAGTTTTCTGTTTTATTTTCAGGTTTCATGACTCTTCAGGACGAATACTTTAACCTGCAGTGCTTCATTTATTAGAATTTTATTGCATGCGGACAGCTTTTTAAAATGAAATAGCAAAAAATGGAGTGGGAGAATATAAAACACCAAACTTAAAAAAAAAAATAGTGGGATGAAATGCATTTAAACCTTTACTGTGATGTATATTATCTCCTTTTCTGCGCCACAACTCTAGAAGAAGAATCCTGATACTGTTACCAGACTTGTGCCTCTTGCCAATTATTCCAAGAACTCATCCATTTTAGCTGTTCAGCTGTCATTTAATAAACTATTACATAATGCATTTATAGGGGCTGGTCTTCGGCACACCTAAATCAACACAATGTGTTCATCGATAGTTACTTCGGAGAATCCTCTTCCTTGAGTTTAGTATCTGCACTGTTATTGATACTTTCAAAGTCCAGTTTAAAGAGCAGCTATCCTGAGATGAGTAGACTGAAAAAAATGAAGTCAGCACATGAGAGCAAAAAGTTCTTGAGGAGTATCATAGCTTTCAGTATCTATGAGAAGAGACATCACTTCAGCATGATCCATAATCCCACAGATGCAGGGATTTTTCATACTGCTTTGTGATATGAGGGTGATAAATTACGTAATTCCAGTTCTTGACTTTGCACGCTAATTTATCTGGTGATGCCAAGTCTTTGATCTTCTAGGCAATTGCCTGAAAAATAACAATAGGAACAGAACCACTCTGATACTGAACCTGAGCCTTCTTGAAAAGAGATAGACTGCTTTGACAACAGGTTGAGATGACAATGTTAAAAATAAAGAGGTAAATACTCACTCCTTCTTACCATTTGATCTCGCTTACTGTAAACACTAGATTTCTGAGCTCACATTCAGCCATAGGTAGAAGGCATGTCAGCCATCCATGGTCTGTCAAGAACTGATAAGTCCTGGGCTGGGTTCCACGGAAACTGCGTCATGGCCGAGTTCCCAGAGGTGGCAAGAAACAAGATAAATAGGATGGCTGGTCAAAAATAGCCAGTGGAATGGTTTTCCTCTGAAATAGACTGATTTGATGAAAAGGAACTGTTTCATCAGAAATAAATAGCATGAAAATTCATGAAGAAACCTGAGTTTGTTTTCTAACTATGCTAAGATGATGGCCAGTGCGTGGCAAAAGCTTGGAGGACTCTTATCCTCCTCTTTGAAGAAGAATGGAAATGTGCATGCGCATGGAAATTGTGCTTGTAGACATTAATAAAGCATTTTAGAGCCTGTATACTGGCTAGAAGAAATGCTGCTCCTATTTATTATCATGTAACCACAGAGCAGAACTCATTCATTGCTTTGTAAATTGTCCAAAGGCCAAGCTTGTCTTCTGTTATGCCAGTATGAATCTGCAGTAATTTTATCAAAATCAATGGTATTGTTGTTTGCTCTAAATCACGAAACTGAAGAAAATAGCCTATTTTAGTAAAAAAACAGCTGCCAAGAAACTGCTGCCAACAGCTGGAGTAACCGGGAGACCTTCATCCCTTGCCTTGCACTCCTGTCACCTCCCCTTCCATTGATGGGCATCATCAGCAGGGGAGGTTTATGCTAGGATGAAAGGGCTGAGCCTGTGTCCCTGGCCAACGTGGCACGAAACAAGGCTTTGTGGAGAGCAGATCCCCAAAAAGGAACTGGCAATTCCAACAGGAGGAACACCAAAGAATGGCTGGGACTTAACAAGCTTTCCCAGAAGCTTACAAGGGGATTTAGGTGTAGGTTAGCTGCCGTGACAACTATGTACCAAAATCCTGACGTTCTGTATCTCTGGAACTGCCAGCAGCTACTCCTGTTGGTATATACTGGGACTTGAAAAAAATCAGTCAAAAAATCACTTAAAACTCAAGATAGATTGCAAATGGACTACAGAAAATATCCCTGTAGGTTAAAACATTTAGAAAAATAAAAGTAGAAAAACCAATAGGCTGTGAACATTCTTCTTTCATATAAAAATTAGATTAAAATTAGATAATTTGTTTAACTTGTACAGCAGCTAGTTCTAAACCTTACTTTTTTATACTGTTTTGATTTATTTATTTTTGCAGCCAATCAGCCTGAGACCCTTACCTCCATTGCTTATGTAAGAAAGAAAATGTTTTTATTTTTTAAGGTGAAATACAGCCATGTTGCAAGAAGAGTGAGTCATATTCTATTAATCCCACATTTGGGGGAAATACAGTAAAATTTGGGGTTCTTAAAAGCAAACTTTTTATTGCAGTGTTATTTCCAATAGAAAGTAGGCCATCAAAGAGCACATTGCAAAGCACATATATATTATTAGTTACTAAAAATAGTCCATCGCTGAGTGTGAATGAAAATATCCAAATGCATTCCCTCGATAAGGTAAGTATGTATTTGCTTTCCTGGGCAGACAATAGTGTTCTCAAATGGAAAAGTGCTTTTATAATAACCTAAATGCCACTTCCAGTTCATATCTGCATAACCCTAGGGAACACAATCTTCACCACACCTCTGCACAGCAAGTTGGCAATAGTAAACTTTGGACTTCTCTTACATAGTCTGTGCAAACTCTCTGGAGTGGGAAGGGATCGCTTTCTGAAATTCCCATTGAAGCCTGGTGAGCAGCAGTGGTCGCCTCAGTTGCGACCAGCTAAGGATACGATCTGCTAAAGCCAGTGGACAGGTTTGAATGGAGCAGCACTGTGGTCAGTGCCAAGCGTTACTTCCCCAGCTCTCCCACAGACGCTCGACACTCAAGGTGGGGACTAGGGTGTTCGGTAGTTGCCACCTGCACCCACCCAAGCCACTTGGCACACATCTGTATTTGGTTTCCAAGAGCTTCTCCTTAAAGGAAGATAACTTACAATTTCCTGTGTTTGGAAAAATGAGACCAGTTAAAGCTGCAATTCTCCATGTTTGTTTTTCTTGACCAAAATTTAAGATAGTAGCTCTTAAACACCATTTAGGAAACCCACAAATACTTATGTTTCCRACGTATTCACATAATTCCCAAGACTATTCAATTAATCTTGAGACYCTTGCAGTGTTTCTTGTAATTGTGGCTCTTTCTTGAAATAACAGTACTCTTGTCATCAGGAGTTATTTATTCATGAGTCCTTGCACACCTTTCCCTTTGCTTGCTTACTTTGGCCTGTTGTAGTTATCTTTCTGGTCCCAGCTACCGTATCTCCTCAGTGTTGCCTCCTAGCTACCTGCTAGCCCCAGAAATGTGTCAATACATCGTGGTGTACTGACACATCCCTAAGACATCCCTGTGGCCTTAAGACATCCCTGTGATGTCTTCAGAGCTTTGTTTTTTGTTTTGTTTTGTTTTGTTTGTTCTGATCCTTCGGTTATTTTTGTGGGACTTGGCTAGATGCACAATTGCGACATTGCTTCTCCAGTTATACACTTTTCAATAGTTTCACTTTCCTCTGTGGCCTCAGGTTACATCTACTCCCTCACACAGTTCATTTTACATCAGGATATAAAAGCAGCTCTATTAGATCATGCTAAACATCCATACAGCTTCACATCTCTCAGCAGTGGCAAGTAGTGGGCACCTAAGGTTATAAGAAGAATGAGAAACARGGTGAGTACCCCTTCTCTTTCCATATCTTCCAGTTTCTGGTAGCCAGCAGTCACTTTTTTTTGAGCCAAGGGGCACACTCTATGCCTGGTCTGAGCATTTAGCTAATGTTTTTATATTAACATTCACAGTGTTTGCTAGATCTTTTCCTTGAGTGACAAATGCTCCCTTAGAACTGTATGCATTTGTTAGGGTTGTATTTTTAACATGTGCCTTATCTTGCATTTATCAAAATTGAATTTTCTCTGCCATTTTCTTATTGAGTCACTTGATACTGAGAGATCCCTCTGCTTTCAATCCACTTTAAGTTTTGACTATTGGGTGCGACTCTGTATCATCACCCATCTTTTCCAGCCCATTTGGGAGGATGTTGAACAACACTAGCATCTAGACTRCACTTCCACTTGCAGCTTCCTTCAATTGTGATTACTGATCAGTCACTCCCAGCTTTGTTTTTCATCTTCTAGCRAGTAACTAATTCTCAAAAGAATCTTATTCTAAGCTAAGGCTTTTTAAATTACTTTTGTGGGTGTGRGCAATCCTGTCAAAAGCATTTAGAAAATCACCATCATCCAAATGCTGGRGGATTGGAATGGAAAGAAAGTTGGGGAGCAAGTAGATGTTAAGCAGTTTGAGCCCCCCAGAATTTTTAGTTTTCTTAATATCTCAGAGTACCCTTGACCTGAGAAAATCGTGCAGTCTGTCAGACCACTGAATGTGAAAAAACAGTGTGTTTCCACTAATTCCTCATGGTATTGCTGATGACACCAGTCATCAGCCTGACCACCCCGCTTATCAGTATTTTTTTTTTTGGTCTAGTTATCTTTTCACATTCAAAGGTCAACCTTTGAATGTGGTTCTGTACATAAAAGGCCTTCTGTCCCTTTGTTTGAACAAGTGTACTTTTATTAGAAAGAGTCAAACTTGTTTAGAGTAAATGCAAGAATAGTCAAAATATACTTACAGCGAAACTGAGTGGAGTTAAGGCAGATTTCCATTGAAGTCAAAGCAGTCACAGCCAGGCTGCGTAGTTTTAGTGCTTAACGGGGAAGGGTTTATGCTGCCAGAGAAGTCAGTGAAATTTTGTCA